TATCTCTGTCTTTTGCACTTGGTAGGGAATAGGGAAATGCTTTTTTAGTGGGTGTAAACGGACTTGATTTGCCCGACCTGAGAAACGTCATAGCATAAGCGTAGACGAGGGGTCTAATTCCATGGCTATAATAAATTTATAAATTAAAAAAACACAACTGGGACGTTTCTCAGGTCGGGCAAATCAAGTCCGTTTACACCCACTAAAAAAGCATTTCCCTATTCCCTACCAAGTGCAAAAGACAGAGATAAAATATAGATCGACGTCCAGTGTAACTCAGTCTATACACGATTATAGATTCTACCGATGTGCATGGCGAGCGGCACAAAGATAAATAATATTGAACCGTATAGAAATCATTTTATATTTTATACGCATTATGGTAATAGTGTTTTTATATTATTATGTATTAGTCACCCTTTATAATTTCGGCCGCCGAGTATAGGCATTTCTCATTATTGTTTACTGTATTTATTACATTTTATTACAAAAAGCGCCTCTTTTTGTGGTACGCGTTCTTAGATATGCCTCTCTCAGTTTTAATCACTGAGGAGCGGATAGAAAACTAAAAATAAGTGTACTATATAAACTATAAATCTGTTTAAAAATTTCGACCAATTTAGGGGTACGGGGGTGTAAATGTCCAGAAAAATGTGTTTTACCGTAAATATCCTCTGAAATAATAGAGGCATTTGATTTAAATTTTTTGTATGTTATATTGTATAAATTCATTTGATTGCCAATTGCGTTTCAAAGAAAAATTATCTCTTCCATTGAAATCAAAAATCACATCATTTTCGATTTTTTTATTTTTTTATCCTAAAAAATGAGCTTATTACATAGGTAATTTAATAAATCGAAAATGATAGAAAGAAAAAAAATTTATTAAAAGTCTTTATTATACTATAATGTAGTCATTAAAAGTCTGGAAAATTCAGTGGCGTAGACATTTACTCCTTACTACCCTTTAGAAAATGTAAAATTTATACATTAATTGTATTTGCTGCAAATATTCCTACAAATATTTTATTGTGAAAAGAACAGTTTATATTTATTTTTATTCAACTGTATAATAAGCTTATTTTAGACTAAAAAAAAATTTCAACTCGTATTACTAAAAAAATAATAACTCGAAGGTTTGATGAACTTATCAAATTTATAAAATATTCGGTGGCATCGGAATTCTGACGTCCTTAAAGGTGCTGCTTCACGTGCACCATTTGTTGTGGAATAGTCTTTGCATTATTGTATTTTGTGGAATATTGATACAATATAATGTTTTTTTGTAAATGAAATTTTTTGGTGAATTCCGATAACTTGCACCTACAAAACGGTTGAAATTTCAAAATTAGTTTATAAGACAAGGTATTATTATTCTTCGCTGTTATTTTACATTAAGGGGACGTACCGTATAAAACCAATCCTTGTTTTATTGCTAAGTTAGTAGCGACAACTACCTACCTCTAAAAGGAGAGAACTTCCGCGTTTGCACATAGCCTTTTTTCTCTCCTGCAAACTTCCTGTTGTATGAATTAGGTCCGAAATTAAATATTTTGTACTCTTTATATATATATTTTAGTAATTTTTTGTTAAAGTAGATATTACTTTATTGATTAAAAAAAGTATTTTTTCTTCAAATTCAAAAAGTACGACAATTGCCGAATAAATTTTGCATCTGATGAAATAACATGCTTTCAAGAGACTTATAGTAGGTACTTAGCAATCAAACACAAACACACATTGAAAGAAAAATATAATGATACCATCCTACTGCATTCTATGCATATTTCAGGCGAGAGAAATGATTTACACACACATTTTTTCCTCAGTAACATATCCTAAAACTACAATCAATAGCGTATTTGCATTTAATTGACTGGTACACACAATGAGCTGGCACGATGGCCCGTAAAAGTGTAATTATTTATGGGCATAGCTAAAGTGGTACTCGTAGGAGAGGCCTAACCTATGACCTGTCCACATTCAACTGACTAAATCTACATAGGCATGAAAGAACAACTAAACATGAGCTTTGGTTGTCTGGTGTCCCCTCATTGGGACGAATATAAATTGGACCATGATTTAGGAACAAATTTTTACCATACTCATAAACATTTTTATAATTTATTTGTTCAAAGTTTGTTCCACGTTTTTATCACGGGAGTTATTATTACTAATTGTGTGTAGAAAAACAGTTCTGGTTTTGTGTTTCGAAAACGCTGACTGCTTTCGTT